CCCGCCTCGCTCCTACCTCTGCGTGCGGCCCCGCCCTCAGCCTCGTTCTCACCTCGGGCCCCGTGGCTCCGCCCCTTGCTGACACCTCGAGCTGTGGCCCCGCCCCTCCGGCTAGGAGCCACCTCTGGGGACCTCCCCGCCCCTGGGCCTGGCTTGCTTTCCTGAATTAGGGTGCACAGGGCTTGTCGAAACCTCTGAGTGATCTGTAGGGCAAGGGGATCGGGAAAAGTCGTCCAGATGTAGTGTCTTGCCACCAGAATTTAGATCTGCATCTCCAGGACAGCTAAACAGGAGAGGGAGCCCTAGAGACCAGCAGGCGGAGGGATGACTTCGGAAGCAGCATCTTGATGATGACTCAGGGATATGAGGGACTAGATGCTTCGGGTTCCAACAACCGGGAGAGAAGGGGATTATGTGGAGAAATAATGGAGAAGACTATCTAGCTACTATGCTTCAAACCTTTAGTGCGTGGCCATGCCCTGTAATAAGTGTTACATATGGACAGTGAAACCTGTGAGAGCGGAACTCGAGGGAACTGCCCTGTTTTCCAGGACTCGCAAGTTTTCCACCTTTGACAGGATGGAAGTTTTCCACCGCGGACCACTTTTCTGATTCTATTAGTGGAAAATACTCGAATTTTGCTTCTCAGACTAATAACTGTCTTACGACAGGTTCTAGCTTTCGCAGGATTTACTACTGTATGTTGCCTTAATTAGAGCTCACTAGGCCGCTCTGGTGACTTAGTGGTAAAAAGGCAGGCGGTTCGAATCCACCAGCTGCTCCGTGGCATTAAATTGCCTCTCAAAACCCACTAAAGTGTCAGCTATAAATCGATTAGAACTGGATGGTACACAACAACAGAACCTTAGAGGGAGCTCTGGTGGCCTAATGATAAGGAGCTGCACTGCTGTTGTCAAGACACGTGGTTCGAATCCACCACCTGCTCTAGGAGAAAGATGGACAATCTCCTCCCTTGCAGTTTGCTGTCTCTGAAAGCCCGCTGAAGCATCAGTCACCTGTGGTTTGGTTCTGACTGGATGATACATAACAAATAACAGAACTTTATAAGCAGTCACTATTCCTCTATTTTTCCAACAAAACACTTCAGCGTCGTTGAAACTGACTCATAACTGTCCCTCCTTTGGGTTTTGAAACTGTAAAGCACACAAGAGAGGACTGTCCATCTTTCTCCTTTGGAGCCAAAGGTTGGCAGTTCAACTTGTAGAATCAGGATTCAGATCCAGACAAACTGACTTCAGGGTTCTAGCCAATTATTATTCTTTCCTTACATCTGAGAAGGCTAGGGGGAAAGAATTACTCATTTTATCTGTGACCAGTGTGGACACAGTCCATGTAGAAAGTGGTATCAGGAAAACTGCTTTCTTTTCTTTTGTTGGGTTGTTTCATTTTGGTGTTTTAGGTAAACTGCTTGAAAATATAATTTGAAGAACCTGCTGGGTGAATTCTAGTCAGCCTTGGCTTTGACTTGTATTGCTTGAGTCCCTTCTCTTGTGGATAACAGCTAATTTTTTAGTGAGAGCATGCCTCGATTGGAAAAGTAGAGGCTCGTAGAAAGAGAGGAAGACCCTGCATGAGATGGTTTGACACAGAGTCTGCAGAGTGGGCAGGATGTGAGGGTGACAGGTTCGGAAAGGGTTTTTGTTCTGCTGTACGGGAGTCCCTGTCCTCTAAGATAACTCGATAGCATAACTTGATTCTTTTCACCCTCGTGAAATTTCAGGACACTGAGAGGCAGAAATGGGTCAAACATATGTGTAATAGAATGAAACTTCGCCTACCATCTTCATGTTTGAGTTCAGCCAGATGATACTCTTTTATGATCTTCAAGCTTTTTGTTGGCTAATTTTCAGAGGTATCACCAGGCCTTTTTTCCTAGTTTATTTTAATTTGTTGTTGCTTGCCGTCAAGTCGAAAGTGACCCATAGCTGATCTTCCAACAAGTTTGATAATAAATCACATGGAGGAGATTGTCCATCCTTCTCCCATGGAGCAGCTGGTGGATTCGAACCGCACCTTTGGGAGGAGCAGCACAGTTTCTTACCACTAGGCTACCAGAGCTCCCTATCTTAGTCTACATGAGGTCAAAAAAGCAAAGCAGAAGCCTTTTGCACATCTCCATTGAAAAAAAGAAATAGCTGAACTTTTTTTATGAATTAGGTATGAACTGAGGCTCAATGTCCAGAAGACAAAAATTCTCACTACTGGACCAATAGGTAGCATCAGGATGGATGGTGAAGAGATTGAAATTGTTCACAGCTTCAGTTTGCTTGGCTCCACGGTCAACACTCTTGGCACCAGTATCCAGGAAATCAAAAAACGTATTGCGATGGGAAAGTCTGCGGTTAGGGACCTCTCTAAAGTACTCAAGAGCAACGGTATCTCTCTGGAGACTAAGGTGTGCGCCTGATACAGGCCATGGTTTTTGCAGTCACTTGTTATGCATCAGAGAGTTGGACAGTGACTAGGGAGGATAGAAGGAGAATTGACGCCTTTGAGCTGTGGTGCTGGAGAAGACTACTGAATGTACCATGGACTGCCAGGAAAACAAATAGATTCGTCCTGGAGAGGGTTAAACCAGGCTGCTCCTTGGAGGCAAGGATTCTGGGGCTTCGTCTGACATACTTTGGACATGTTGTAAGGAGAGACAGGTCTTTGGAGAGGGACATCATGCTGGGCAGAGTGGAGGGACAGCGCAGGAGGGGAAGACCCTCTATGAGTGGATTGATTCAGTGACTGGGGTAATCGGGATGGGTGTGTCAGAGGCAATGAGATTGGCACAGGATAGAGCAGGGTTTAGGGCTGTTGTACAAAGGGTCGCTATGAGTCGCAAGCGACTCGACCGCACATAACAACAACAACAACAACAACAGGTGTTTATGTATAAATTAGGGAGAAACTTGTTCTTTTGTAATTAAAAAAAGACAAAACAAATAATAGCCCAGCTCATTGCTGCTGCATCCATTCTGGCTCATAGTGACCCTAAGAGTAGAGCTGCCTCACAGGATTGCTGAGGCTGTAAGTCCTTTTGGAAGCCAGTTGCCATATCTTGCCCTGGCGGAACAGCCATGTGTTTAAACCGTTATGCTAGAAGGGAGTTGCAGTAGGTCTGCAATATCTGTTCAAGGGGAGCATGATAAAAAGTATTAGAACGTTCAGTGGCTGTCTTGGTACCATTGACAACTGCTGAGGTGTAGCTCCATGTGAGATGAAGTAACCCCTCTATTATCTGCCTGCTTTCCTGTGAACCGTGGACAAAGTCTTCCCTAAGGATTAGAGCCTTGTGGATTAATGCCTTCGGTCTGAGGGTAGAAATTCATGAAAATACCTAAGTACTGTTTCAGAAACTCTCAAACTTGTTACTGTCAAGTCCAGAGTTGACCCTCCAGCGGGTTTTCAGAGGTTGCAAATGGCAGGGGAAGAGGTTGCCCATCTCTCTCTCGTGGTTTCAGACCAGCAGAGAGGTGACATTTGTGAGACAGCACAGGAAAGGAAGACCCTCGATGAGATGGATTGATTCAGTGACTGGGGTAATAGGGGTAGGTGTGTTGGAGATGGTGAGATTGGCACAGGATAGGGCAGAGTTTAGGGCTGTTGTATATAGGGTCGCTATGAGTCGCAGACGATTCAATGGCACATAACAACAACAACAACAACAAAGTGTAACTCATTAGAGACTACGCCCCAAGCCCTGTTGAAGCTCTAAATTTAAGAGCTAAAGCCACGTGAGTTTGGTATAGCATAATGTCTTGTAACATACAAACTATGATGTTGAGAGTCATGTCATTGTCACTCAAATACCAGCAAGAACCAGAACTTAATAAAACGAATACATTTTACTGTCTCATAATTGTTGTTGTGTACTGTCGAGTCAGAACCCACCTGTAGCTGGCCCTCCGGCAGGTTTTCAGAGGCAGTTAATCACATAGGAGGAGATTGTCCATCCTTCTCCTATGGAGCACCTGGTGGCCTCGAAATGTGTGCCTTTGGGATTGCAGTGCAGCTTCTTGCCACTAAGCCACTAGTAGTAAAAGCAAAAACGTAAGAAATTGGCTCCCTCTATCACTACACCCTGAGCAGAGGGCAATGAAGAACATGATG